TCTTGTAACTCAAGTTTTATGAATAAAAGCCAAGTGGGTCGACTAGGAGAGTGACTTTTGAACATCCTCTCTTCTAGTCTGGCCGAACACTCTTCTCCTCTCCTTGTTCTTCTTCTTTCTCTTTTCTTTCTTCTTTCTTCTTTCTTCTTCTCTACTTTGACCTAGAATCAACTAGGGTTTATTCACAAAATGAAATTTCTTAGTAGAAAAAAAAATCATCTTTGGTAGATATGATTTCAATGGAACATGGAGAATATGTAAGTGCAATACTGAATAACTTCTTCTGGGTTCTTGCATTGGTAACTGTTGTTAATTTAGCATGTTGGCGCCTTTTTTCTGGTGTGCAAGGCTGAAGTGATATATCCATAACTTATGCTTTCCTATTTTCTGCAGATGCTTAAGCTGGATGAGCAACAGTTTCTTGGGGAGGCTTCTTGTGCTTTATCTGAGGTATGGCCTTCCAAGAGTTGTAGTATGTGTGTCTTACACTGTTTAAGTCATTGAACATCTTGTAGGCCCAGGAGCCATTTGGGTACATTACAGTTGGTTCAAGTACCCTGGTTAACAAGCATGCTGATTGACCCAGACCTCCAATTGATATGCCTCCTCTTGAATTTTTCTTAGCTAAAAGTTATGATCAAACGATCATGATAATTCGACTGATGACCATTCAAAACAATGGACTTTAGGTGGGTAGGGTTGAGTTGGGAATTTATTAAATTTTCAATGGGACCAAACCTAACTGAGTCCGATGTAATTGAAATTCTTCAAAATGGGTAACATGACTCACAGCCCTACTTAAGTTTATCATTATATAAGCGACTTACTGGATTTGTGGTTAGCAATACCTGATTAGTGTGATTTTTAGTCTATGTCCTATTCAAGCTTGGATATAGGTCAGATAGCATGTCATATATCAGACAGAGAGACTCTGCATCATTTGAAAGTAAACCTTTGGCTGCCATACTCTTTGATTGGATAAATCTCTTACTTTGTTAATAACTCCACATTTTGTTGTCTTTTTGACGAGTCAACTCTGCCCACTTTTATAGTTAGAGATGAAAATTCAATTCAAAGCTTCTAGTTGCAAGTACAATTGCTTATAGGACAAACTATGCAGCATAATTTTATTCACCTTATATCTGTTGTGAAAACCAATACATTCTGTACTTATGAGCATCTTGCACCTTTATGTTTCTTTGCAGATAGTCACTAAGCCAACTCGGTCATTGACACTAAGTCTTGTGCATAGAGAAGATTCTAGTAAGCCAAGTTGGCCCAGAAACTTAGGGGAGCTTACTATTCGGGCTGAAGAATGTTTCAGCTCAAAGAGCACAGTAGAGATTATCTTACGGTCTTTAGATCTGGAGTATAAGGATCTCTTCTCTAAATGTGTATGGACCAGACTTGTATTTATGTTATTTTTCATTGTTACACTCCCCCTGCCAGAAAAAAAAAAAGTAATGTAGGAATGGTTACTGATATTCAATCATCTTACACTTGTTTCAGGACCCCTTTTTAGTAATTTCAAAAGTTGTGGAGAGTGGTGGCCCCATTCCAGTTTGCAAAACAGAAGTGAAAAAGAACGATCTCAACCCAACATGGAAGCCTATATTCTTGAATTTTCAGCAAGTTGGAAGCAAGGCATAAGCAAGTCTTTAAGGAGCTAGGATTTTGTACAGAGGAAATCCGGTGTCTTTCGGTGAAGGCCCATCCCTTCCTCTCATTGTCCAAGGCATACTTTATACACTTCGGACACATGGATTCTCCGAGCTTTAGTGGCTCATTGGCATAGATTTTAGTCAAATGGCACCAATACTTATATCCATATCCATCCATTTTTTATCCCACCTCCCCACCTCTAACAGAATGTTGGACTTCCTATTGCTTTATTATAGTGTCATTGGCTATCCAGGGAGTGGACTAACATTTGATTGTCCAATCATATGTACCACATGGCAGTGCACATCTGTGGAGATGGATGTATTAGGGTCTTTGCTCAGAAGACACTGGATTTCCTTATTCTATTACTAGATCTCATTTCTCAGTACCTTTTGTTTCATGCAGGACAATCCATTAACTATAGAGTGCTTTAATTTCAATAGCAATGGCAAACATGACTTGATTGGGTAAGTAGACACCTAGTTTCCTCTGTCTCGTTCTCTGTCTGATCCACTGGAATTTTGATTTTCTGTGTTGTGGATTGACCAGAAAAGTTCAAAAATCACTGGCAGACTTGGAAAACCTTTGGATCAGTAAGCAGGGAGAAAATTTTTTCTTACCAACTGCTGTCGGACACAATTATCACAAGGTCCTGATCATTCTGATAAGATGGTTTGCTTATCCAATTACTTATTTTCTTCAATTAAAATTTTGGTGACTTTTTGGTAACATCTCTCAGGTATTGAAGAGTCAACTATTTGTGGACAAGTTCTCAGAAAGTGTACAATATACGTTTTTGGATTATGTTGCTGGTGGATGTGAACTAAACTTCATGGTGGCCATTGATTTTACTGGTACATATTTTACTTTGGCACTTTGGGGACTAATCTATGTTCCATGCCTGAGCACTTTTACCTGTAGCTTTTATGTGTAATGTGATCTTCTATGAGGAAGCACCAATTGGAATTTTTATAGGGAGGTATTTCATGATGTCATCCTCTATGGATTTGTAGACTTTTCATGGTGACCATTGTACTTGGTTCTGTATACTGGTTGGTTTGGGAAGTATTGGACTGGATCATTAGGTTATTTATTTATTTATTTCTGTATATCAGCTAGTGTAGTACATATTTGTTTAGGCACAATGGCGAAGATAGGTGACATGCAAGTATATAGCCACTTAGGCAACCGCCTAAGTGTTGCTTAGGAAATGTATCTTTTATTTTTGTTTTTTATTTTAAAGCTCTAAATCATAAGTTAATTCCCTTGGTTTCATAGCGACTAGCAATATTCTTTGGTTAATAATCAGCAATAATCTTCATTACTAAGTATAAACCTCATATTAAAACATGGAAAATCAATATGTTTGAAAGAAAGAAATAAAGAGAAACTTAGAAAATAAAAAGATAAAAAGGAGTCAAAGGCAGTGATTTAAAAGGCATGCCTCAGGTGCACAAGCGAGGCGCATTTTAGGGTAGGTGCCTCGCCCAGGTCCTAGGTGCACGCCTGGTGCGCCTTGCGCCTCAGCCCAGGCCTGTGCCTTTTGAAAATTTGATGTCTTTTTCCTTTTTTTTTTGAGTCTAGCGGTTGGGCCGGAGCACTAGAGCAGAGTAGAACCCCCTATTTGGTAATGTTGTCCATTCATTCATCCTAATAAAATATCTTTTTAAAAGCAATTAAAACTATAAAATCATTATTTTTTATGTGAAAACTAAGAATTTAAGACCCAAGTATGGACTTGTTTGGGCTTGCCTCAAGGAGTGTGTCACAAAGGTGGCTCGTAGAATTAGGAATGTAATATGTCACATTAGCTACTTGAAGTAATGTAATTGAGAAAAAAAGAGATTGTGGGCTTTATATGCTTGAAAATGCTTTATATGTTTGATTTTATTTTTAAATTCTCATTTGAATATGCTTTACATTTTATGTTTATGTATTTTAATTTTAGATAATAGTTTTTTTAAAACATTTATTTTAAAATTTAAGTTTATATTTTTATTAATATTATGTTCTATAATTTTTTGATTTTTTGGCATTTGTTTTGATTTTTTGACTTTTTTTTTAATTTTTGCACCTTGCTTAAAAAGGCGTGCGCCTCACCTTGTGCTTTGCGCTTTTAAAACACTGGTCGAAGGGGTGGGGCCCTTCTTTTGTCCTAGAAAAAGGAGGAAAGAATGGATCTTCCTTGTTGCTGGTGTATTGATTGGATAAAATCTTCCTTGCTTGTAGTTTGAGGTTTTTGAAGTCTTAAGGAGTTCAAGGTGGTGTCCGCCAACTTGTTTATTGATCAAACCCTAACAAACAAGAAAAAATAAATCGAAACTGTGTATGGATTATAAAAACATTATAAACCTATTAAATGAATAATTTAGTGTAACAATTTTATTTTAATATTATAATCTCATAATATATATATATATAGGGGTATTATATGGCCGGCCCCATAGTGTTAGGATGAGGCTTAGATATGATGATTATAAGGCACCTTGTAAAACAACTAGGTGTTTGGGCAAGGTATTTGTCCAATACGACCAAGTTTTCCTATGCCTAGGTGCCTGATGCAGGATCTTTGTGATTCAGCACAATTCGTGCAATCAACTTTGGTGTAGATATGTAGGTCAAACAAAGAACAGAGAAAGAAGAGAAGAGAAGAGATGGAAATAAGATGAAAACCCTAGGCAATCATACCCTCTCAACTTGGTAGTCATACCAAATTCTGTAGAGAAAATTTCTTTGTTCATTAGGCAAAAAACTGTTCTTCAAATGAGCCTTACAAGCTTAATAAGAAAGAAGCTTCTAAAGGAGGAAACTTGCCCCCCAAGTTAGCTTGCCCAACAAGCCACTTACAAAAGAAGCTAAATTAGACTAAACCTGCCCCAAACAATTACAAACATAAAGCCAAACAAAGGGAAATTACTAGACTAAGTCTTGTCCCCAAACATTACCCCTAAACATGTAAACTTACAAAAATACCCTTGCTGTCTAGGAATGCAAGAAAGTCAAATAAGTCCTGTCCAGTGGCAAACTCAACCACACAAAGAGTATCTTAAGGTGGATTGATGACTCTAGGATCTTCCCAAGTTGATCCACTGCTAACCCAGCTCCCATGTGGGCCCCATGTCATCATAATAATGCCATATAAGCATAGGAGCAGCTTTGGTTCTCTTTTGATATGCCTTAAGTTGATCCCCATCACCTAATAACATGGTTTTTAAAACCGACCTGGAGACCGAACTGGTCAGGGGTCCGGTTACCGGGTCGAACCTGTTCTGACAAAAAATAAAAAATTAAAAAAATTAAAATCGGTCAAAACCGTTCAAGCAGTTTGAATGGTTAACCGCCTGGGTCAGTGGTTTGCTGACCAAAATCAACGGTTTTTATGGAAAATCCAATTTTGAGGAAAACTGGAACCGGTCACCTGACCGGTTCCTGGTTTTTCCGGTCTGACCGTCCAGTCCGGTCCGGTTTTGAAAACCATGCCTAATGACAACTATAGTGTAGGGGTTGGATATGGGTAAGGGTTGATCACTTGATCCTCGTTGTTTGGCCACTTGCTTCTTGCTTCCTGCCTTTTTGTTTCTTTTCCTTTCCTTATCTTTTTGGGGCCATTGGCCTGTATAGCCTTTGTATACTTTTTTTTTTCTCAAGTTATTTTCTAATTTAATAGAAAAGGTAAAAAATAATAATTGAGGGAGGATTGAAGGGGCCATTTTCAGAGATTCTGCTGCACATGTACACTCGTGTTAGTATTTGAACCTGGGCCTCTGAAGGAAATCCTTTGGTTGTATCATGACCCAACCAGTTGCTTTATCAGGTGAACACAGCATGATGCTGTGTTGTACCTGGTTGCCCAGATTTTTGACAATTCGGTGCTTTTGATTGTAATATATTGTTGCTTATAAAAAAAAAAGAAGTGTTCTGAGAGAGGTCTACAAATCTGATCAATTTTCTGTCATAACAAATCTCCTTACAGGCAGAAAGGTTCAGTACTTTGTCTTCCTATCCTGCTCAACTTCACGATTCTTCTAAGTCAATTTGATCATTTAGTATTTATTTTTGTTTTATATTCACAATTTCTCTATTGCGATCTGTAAAAAGCCTTACATGCTTTCTTTAGGCTGGCATTTGTTTATCAATAAAGTGGACATAAAATTATTGAGATTGAAATTTGAAATATTTCTGCTATCATTTCCATCCTTTTTACAATGAGAACTTTGTTTTCCACCCCTTTCAAACTGTTTTGATGTAAATGGCAAGGAAAACGAAGCTATTGTAGAAGGCACACAAATACAGCTTAAATATTTCAGTCTACAAAATCCTTAATCCAGTTAACATTGAAACAAATAGAGCCAAAACAAGAAAAAATATCATGATTTAAATTATTGACATACCAGTGTTTATGAATTACTTATTTTTGGGGTGGCAAAAAAATGCCCCGACATAGCCATACCAGTGTTTATGAATTACTTTTTGTTTATCAGCTTCAAATGGAAATCCCCGTCTACCAGATTCATTGCATTATATTGACCCTTCAGGCCGGCCAAATGCTTACCAGAGAGTAAGAAATTGATCTTTATTGTTCTATATTTTTGTTGAATTTTTATTTATCAAACTAATTTAGTTGGGTGACCATATTTCTTTCACAGGCAATCTTAGAGGTTGGAGAGGTGTTGCAATTTTATGATTCGGATAAACGTTTTCCTTCCTGGGGTTTTGGAGCACGCCCTATTGATGGTCCAGTCTCTCATTGTTTTAACTTGAATGGAAGCAGTTACCAATGTGAGGTGAAAGATTAGCAAAACCAGTAGTTGTTAGCAAACTTGGATAATAAAATTTCTGTTTAGAATTCCACTGTACTAAGAAGATATGATTATATTTTTCCAGGTTGAGGGAATTCATGGGATTATGATGGCTTATACAAGTGCCCTCCACAATGTATCATTTGCTGGACCAACCCTTTTTGGGCCAGTGATCAACACTGCAGCAGCAATAGCTAGCCATTCTCTTTCTTGCAGCCAACAGAAGTACTTTGTTTTGTTGATAATCACGGTAAGAATGTGTACAGGGGCAATCTCTCTTCACATCTATGAATGTGATAGGTTATACCAAACAGGCATGAATCAGCCTCTTTCTGGGGTCTAACCAAAGATTTTTCTTTTCTATCTTTTATTATAAAACTTCTTAATCGAACTTTGTTTGAATTTCTCAGGATGGAGTCATAACAGATCTCCAAGAAACAAAAGATGCTCTTGTAAAGGCTTCTGATTTGCCGTTGTCAATTCTCATCGTTGGTGTTGGTGGGGCTGACTTCAAAGAAATGGAGGTGCTGTATTCCCCTTACTCTCCATTGCTAAGACTGTTCAAGTCTTTGAGTTACTGACATTTTTGTGTCCACTCATTTGAAGCCAGAATTTCAATTAGGAGTCAAAACAGCATGCGAAGCCATCTCTCAGTAGTTCCATTTATTTGCTTTCTTGCCTTTTTGTTTACCCAATTTTCTCTTGGTTTGGCAGGTTTTGGATGCAGACAAAGGAGAGAGACTTGAGAGCTCTAGTGGACGAGTTGCATCACGTGATATAGTGCAGTTTGTTCCATTTCGGGATGTACAGAGTATGTAATCTTTGGCTCATAACCTGACTCTGAACAGTTTTCAACTGTTCATTCCATTTACCCTTGACAACTTTTACTGACAATACTCATTCAGAAGACCGACAGTAACCGCAGTTTCAATTGCAGGTGGAGAAATGTCAATTGTCCAATCACTTCTAGCCGAATTGCCCACACAATTCTTAACCTACATGCGTTCAAGAGGTATTCAGCCAAAGAGCTAATTATCTGTCAAAATTGTAAATAGGATTTTATAACTGTTTCCCATCCTGAATACCTCCCCTTGATTTTGCCTACCATACCGAAAACGTTCCCAGATTGCAGTGGTGCTCTTTATTTCTTTTCATTTCCTACCACTCCAGCCTCCTGATTTCTGGTTTTCAGTCTCTCTCATTTGGCTAAAAAATGGATTCCAAACATGTTTACAAGTCAAGTTTCCATCAATACAAAGCCCAATGCGGAATGGAATCAAAATATGCCATGAAATTGCAAGATTGTATTCCCATCATTACAAAGCCCAATCCGGAAAATAACCATAATCTTCCATCAAACTCCAAGAATGAATGTTCTTTAATAGGAATAAAGTGGAAGGTAATCATTTCCTGGTGGATGCACATTAAAGATTATTCGATAAATTTTCTGCTTGTAGATAATTTGTGGACTGAAACTCCACACCATGAACATTTGTACTCGTATTATGGCCTCATTGGGCGCTCTTTAAGTAAATTGTTTTTCTTGTTGGTTGAAAACAGAATGTTTCTCAAAACAAAATGGCTGTGTATGTGTATGTTTTTTCCCCAAATGTTTGAAGAGTGAAATTTTGTTTTTATTTCAGACTATAATTTCTGTTTCAAAAAAAAAAGGATTTGTTTTTGGAAACAAAACCATCTTATTTTCACTTCTCAGAACAAAAACAGAGTGGGAGAAAATGTATTTTTTGCTGATGTTGCAGTTCAGAAGGCAAGTAAAAACAAAACATTCAGTGTCTAACGGCCCCTTGGATATCGATTTTTTTGGTTCGAATATGTGGCCACGGGGGTTTATGGCCTGAAAAGTAATTTATTTTGATTTGAGGGCTTCCTACCTCATCATAGACCAATGCTGATTGAGCATTTGCATGACTTAAGTCATCAGTCATCACAGAAGCAACTATGCCATAAAGAATAGAATCAATAGATGTAAAATATATATATACAGCAGGGAGACGGGATTTCCTGCACTAAACGGTAAACGGCATGATTGTGTCTCCCCCTGTTATCTTTTTTTTTTTTTGAAATAAATTAAAATAAAATTGAAAAAATAAATAAGATTTAACTGCGAGAAATAAAATAGGGAAAACCGTTAACTATTAACCCTTACCCTACCTAAGGTTGAAGAAAGCAAACCTTCTGCCATTTCAGCTCCGCAATATTTTATTCACTTTTGTCGTTCTCCTTTAAAGCAACATCATGGACCTAATATAGATTTATTTCCCTAATCTAAACTTTGTCCTAGTCATAAATCTAGACAGTATGGTTTGTTAGATAATAAAAACCTATTCAATGACCTTACGTAACAGCTTAAGCTTTTAGGTTGAATGGTTCCTTGGGATGGTATTAGAGTTTATTTGACCAAGTGGTTTAGTCTTTGATCCTTATTACCCATTTTATAATAATTAAATTTCAATACAAGGTACGGGTGGGTCTCTGTTTTTCGTCTTTTGGGTAATTTGGTTCGGTTAGTTCGGTTTTTGGTTTCGCTTTCAAAGTTAGAAATTTGGTTAACCGAAAAACCAAATTAACCAGAACTCGTTATATAATATAAAATATATAACATATAATATATAATATGCTATATATTTATATATAATATATTACAATGAAATTTCATAATATATATTATATTATAATATATATATATATATATTAATTAAATTCGGTTTTTAACCGAAATAACCAAAATTTTCAGTTTTGGTTTTCTTGTAATTTGGTTTGCATTTTTTTTATTTCGGTTTATTCGGTTCGGTTTTTAACCGAATAAACTGCTCACCCCAAAGAGGGCGTGCTAGAGAATAAAAAAAAAAAAAAAATTCAGAAACCTCACCTAACAACTTAAGTATTTAGGTTAAACAGTTCTTTGAGATGGCTACCAAACCAAGAAAAAAGTCCTAAAAAGGGTTTCTACAGTTACTCTTTTTGGTAAGAAAACAATTTCTAAAACTAATACATATCAAACGAATTCTAAAAATAAAAGAGTTTTAATTCAAAAATAAAAATAATAAAAATTACCAAAAATCCTGTCACAGAATTGTGGCTACTTGGAGACCAAATCAGCCCCCCACAACGTCCCACAGCACATCCCCGCCATGTATTGAGAATAACTCCCGATGATAATCCCAGAAATGATGATGTCATCATCAGGAGGTGTTGTGGGACGTTGTGAGGGCAACCTTGTGGGGAGCTGATTTGGACTCAGCTACATGGCTATCCATAAATTGGCCATAACCTACTCAATTGATGTCCAAATCATGTGATCCCGAATGGGTAATGGACTAACCTATCCAATGATGCCAAACAAGCAAGTTTTAACCCCTCAAATTTAGTTAACGACGACGGATTTGATACAGTTTCTTGCCTGGTTCTGTTTGGAGAGACCAAGGACCATTGGCTGCTTTGTGCATCCAACTTTTTTTTTTTTTGTGAATGTCACTGCACCTTAAACTGATTGTCACCCATTACAAGCATGACTCCAAGGCCATAAACAAGGGAAATGATCTCCACTCTAATCACGTTCCAATACAATATGCATTATCATTTATCAGTAAAGAAAGAACCACAATGTAATCATGTATACCAAAAGCTCCTATACTCTTGATGGGTTAGGATTATCAACCGAGCACCCATCAAAATTAGTCTTGACTCTTGATGGAACCAATGGAGAGGAGGGAACTAACTGCAATCAATGACCTGCCCATGGGCTGAAAATCTAGACACAGCATGCTAATCCCTGCTATCATTTATACAGAAACCTCTGAGTGCCACTGTTATCAAGATCCATTGAGCAACCCTGATAGTAACTAGGTCAGTCAGACTTTCTATTAGAAGTTTTCTTAGTTGGAGGAGAGAGAAAATTAGCACAGAAAACGAGGAACCTCACCAGGAGGATGCCAACAGGATTTGGAAAAAGGGGAAAAATGGTATAAAATTCTTAAAGGAAACTCCCAAGAGCCAAGAAAGAGGAAATTGATACATTGGTGTTGGAGAATATAAGAACCGTTTCAATAAGCTTCCAGAAAAACACTTAGTTTCCTACTAAAAAAAGAAAAACACTTAATACTTTATATGGGGAATGGGATCAATCCACTAATTGGTCTAAGCAAAATATTAAGTAGAGGCGGCTTTATGGGTCAGGGGATGGACTACCCGGTGATGTTACAAGCCCGATCTCCTACCCACGGGACACCACAGCCCTACATCGATAACAATCTCCTGTATTTGTATGATTCCAACGAGTTTGGCTTCAGTCAGGGAAAAGCCCATTCGGGCAGCTTCTACTGCCTTGCATTGAGAATATCTTCATACTTACATGCTTTATTTAATGGAGAGATATTCTCAATGCAAAGTTACAAAAGGCTGTTAGAATGGTGTGGGCACAGATTTGCCCTGATAGAAGCCAATCTCACTTCCAATGTTCAACTGTGGTGTCATGTGTGTAGGGTTTAGAAACATGTATACAAAATTTTGCACCGTACATATTTATATTTATATTGTTTTCAAATTGAATCTTTGATATTATCAAATCCCTCTGCCATCAAGGTTGGGGGGTTAAGGGAGGGGGATGGGCTACTTCTGCTGTGTAGCCTCAAGCAGCAAATTGAATCTTAAGCTCAGTTTGGAAAGAATATAAATACAAATTTGTAGAATGCAAAACCTCATATTTTATATTATTTTGTATGTATTTGCACTGTACATATTTATATTTGTACTCTTTCTAAACCGAGCATTAGGGTCCATCTGGTTTATAGTTGGAATTGAAATCAAAATGGTTTATTCTCATAGCCTATTTGATTTGGAAGGGAATCAGAATAAGAATTGAAATCAGATGGAATGGAATTTCATTCCCAAGGGAAGAAGAGGGGATAGCCATACTTAGGGGTGGATTCGAGTCGAGCTGAGCCGAATAGTACCAGGCTCAAGCTCGATTTTGAAAAAAAAAAATATTTTATAAAAATAAAAATTGTATATCAAAAATTTTTTATTTTATATTTAAAAAATTAAGAATTATAATATTTTTATTTTATATATATATTATTTTCTATAATTTTATTATATATATTTTATATATTCAAGCCGGCTCACGAGCCGAGCTCTAGTAGGCTCGATCTTGGTTCGTTTAATAATCGAGCCACTGAAATCAGTTCGATTTCAACCGAACTCGAACAACTCGTGAAAAGCTCGGCTCGTTATCACCCCTAGCCATACTCAAATGAGGGAATACCATTCCATCATGAATGAGAATAAGATTCCAATGAAATTGGAATGGGCCAATCCAGTTCTAATACTAAATCTCTAATCCCGTAAACCAAAAGGATCCCTTGTGAGAAGGTGATGTTTTTTGAAACGGAAAAATCCATTTCTTCGCATGTGATTTGTGCACATGGACGGGTCCCGATCAGGTGGTGTATTGTTATTACTTATTAGGGATCCAGCAATGGACCTACCAAATAAATAATTATTTATCAGTAGATCCAAACTTCATATATATTAAGCTTCATTGGAGCCTGAATTAATAATTGCCAATTACTTCCTACAAAATATGCGTCTAATTAAATAGTTCTCTGCAATTAGCCTTAGTTGTTGGATTTGTATCCCGGATTCCCATTTATATTTTTATTTACTTATTTTTATAGTTTATGTCATGGAATATGCTCAATTCATTCATTTCAAACATCCACGAGCTAATGTGGACTGCTTTTGCTTAACACAGAACACATTAATAAAAATTTCCTAAATTAGAGGCGGAAATTATTATGACACAGTGCAACGTGTTTGACATTACGAGATCATTACCGTTGGCGTGGATCAAATTGATCTTCATTCGCGAACATGATATGCCAAAACAAACCAGAATCTCTCAGTCTATTTCCTCTAATTTCATCCATACCTACTCTCCTACCCGTGTTTACTGAACCGGACCGGACTGATCAGTCCAACTGGAAAAACCATGAACTGGTCCATCGACTGATCTGATCCGATCAGATCAGATCGGATCGGCTGATCCAACCGGGAAACCAAACAACCAGTTCTGATTTTATAAAAACGTTGGCTACTTGGCTTCTTTTTTTTTTTTTTTTTCTCATCAACTTTCTAATGCCATAACTTTTTGTTTGGTGGTCAAATTGAGTTAATCCTTTTTTTTTTATTTCAATTTATAATTAATATTATTAATTTATTATATTCGATCCAACCAATTGAACTGATGACCCAGAAGCGTTAGGGAGAAAACAGTATACCTCCAGTCCGGTATTGCTCATAGTCAAACCTTTTGCTCACTGAGTCTTTGGTCGTCACGTTGGATACTTTTTTTAAGGACTTTCTTAAGGTATCCCGACATCACGTTGTGTACTGTT